TGAGTTCTTATTCTGCTTTGTGATTACCCTTACAAGAGGGGATTGGATAAGTTCTAAAAATTCATGGCATGTTTGCTCAGAATTCTCATGTGTTCGGCTACTGTTCTGATGTGTGTTCATCAGGTAAGTCTTGGTGCTCTTTTCCTGTCTCTATTTAAAAGCTGTCCTTGAGGGGCGCCTGGGTGGTGCAGTCGGTTAAGCGGCCGACTTCAGCCAGGTCACGATCTCGCGGTCCGTGAGTTCGAGCCCCGCGTCAGGCTCTGGGCTGATGGCTCAGAGCCTGGAGCCTGTTTCTGATTCTGTGTCTCCCTCTCTCTCTGCCCCTCCCCCGTTCATGCTCTGTCTCTCTCTGTCCCCAAAAAATAAATAAACGTTAAAAAAAAAAAAAATTTAAAAGCTGTCCTTGAATTGATGCTATACCATTTTCTTAAAAATCTATTTTGAGAGAGAGAGAGAGAGAGAGCGAGCGCATGAGCAGGGGAGGGGCAGAGAGAGAGAGAGGATCCCAAGCAGGCTCCAAGCTATCAGCATGGAGCCCGACATGGGGCTCGAACCTAGGAAGTGTGAGACCATGACCTGAGCTGAAACCAAGAGTCAGGCACTTAACTGACTGAGCCACCCAGGTGCCCCGATGCTGTACCATTAAAATGAATTATCCTGCCCTAGCTATTTGTGGGCAAGTCCTTTGGTGTGTGTGTGTGTGTGTATATAAGGGAGTGCTGGGGACAGGGCAGCCTTCTGTACTTAGCAATTGCAGTCTCTCTGCTTCACTGTTTCCACAGACATTCTGCCTCCTGCTAAAATGGCCTTTCTACATAGCTCTGCCCTCTCTGCTTCTCTGAACCAAACCGTGTCCAGGTCATCAGCTGCCAGCCCTGCTGCCCCTCTGCCCACTTCCTTTGCTACCAAAGGGGTATATCTTTTACACTTGAGGGTGAGCCCTCACCTTCAGAGAGCACATAGTTGCTGGGGTTTTCTGAGATGTGCTGCTCAGGGCTATTTTCTCTTCTCGTATTCTCTTTTTTCTGTCTTTTCCTGAGTAAGGTCTTTGCTTTATCTCCACTCTGTCTGGCTTCGGATTTCATGGGTCTCATAATATGCAAAGGATATAGGTTGTCACTATAGGGTGAGCCCATACTCCTAGAAAGTTTTTGTTTTTGTTTTTGGTTTTGGGCTTTCTCACTATTGCTTCCCCCTCTCATCTTGGATTCATGGCTGATATTAGCTAATTTTAGCAGGCCTTGTACACTTTGATTGTTTTGCATGATATCCTGGAGGAGATGGTTGGTGTCCATGGACATATTTATATTGGGGTCTGATGTTCTCTTTTAGAGGCTCTCTAGGTCCCTGTACTGAGAATAGACTTTTAGGGGGATAAGGGTGGAAGCCGGAAACAGCTGTTCAGGTGTATTAACGGTGGACTGCATATGTCACATTGGTCATTGGAGAAATGGTGAGAAGCAGGTAAATTCTGGACATAGTTTTTGGGATTTGCTAGTGGACTGAAGGACTGAAAGAGGCAGTCTTTTGCAGCTGTGCACATCTGACTTTGAAATGCTGCTTCTGCACTGGGGAGCTTAAAGCAGGCTTTACGTGGGTGGGACTGTTCGCAGGGAGACTTCCCCTGTGGCGCTTGCCATCTGGCCCAGTTGCCAAAATGAACAGGAAATTAATCATTTTACTTATTGGGTGGAGTTCTTGTCCTTGTTTAGTCCAGGTCTGTTGTAGAGATCTGGAGTGTCCGTGGGCTTGGTTCTGCCACCCTTCCTGGTTCCCACAGCCACATCGGGGGCTGCGCCACGTGCGCATCTTCTGTTCGGTTCAGAGACTGATTCTTGGGCCCTGGTGGGGCGAATGCAGCAGTGGCGGCTGCACACTCACAGGGAGAGCCCGCCCAGACATCCCTCAGTTCTCTCCCGAGCTGTCCTGGTGGTTGTGTAAGCTGCCCCTGCTTGCTGAATGCTGAACTGCGGATCCTTGGCCAAACACAATGGCTCCCACATCTGCGAGGGCCTCTGCTTGCACTGGGGTTCTCTACACGCAGGAATCACATGGGATCATGGTAATAATTAATAAACCTTTCTTTCAGAAACTTCTGAAAGTTTCTGGTCTGCTGCTGTTTTTGGTGCTGCCGTGATTCTATTATTTTTGTGTGTGTCATTTCTGTGGAAGAGTGGGATGGAAGGGATGTGCCCTCCTCTGTCTGCCAGCTTGGTCTAGTTTGCTTTGTTCCCTAGGAATCGACTGGGGGGACTGGCAGAAAAAGGATTTGGGAAGATTTTTTAGATTCAGAGGATAGAAAATGAGTTGGCTGATATGTAATAGACGGTTTATTCAGGGCCTGAATATTTCTGGCTTATTCTGCTTTTCACGGATGCTTAATGACAGTATGGGATAAACATAATTGGGTGTTACTTTTATTTTTTTGAAGATTCCTCCTTAGAGTGTGGAATCGGAGTAAATATAATGTCCATGGTAAGTTTTAACGTCACCTATAGTAAGTTTCTAATTAAATTACCTACCTGTAATCATGTGAATGTAGGAAACAACCTATATAATTTTATATTTTTTCTGTATGGGGAAAAATGTGCCTACCTTAAGTTTTAATAAAAGATAGAAGACTGCTTCGAAGGAGACAGTCTGAACATTTAAGAATTAAAACTTGTTTAAAATGTAGAGTTTGCATTAATAGCAAAATGGCATATATTGAAACATTTTGTATTAAATTCCTTCAAAGTACATTTCCTTACTAGATTGTGGCATCAAGTGCTATGGGTATTAATTGTAAAGTTAACCCTCACTACTATTTATGATGGTTTTGTGTACTAAATTGGAAAGGTATTTTGTGTTGTCATTGTGGATTGGGTGACTGTAATAATGTTTCATATTAATATGCAATACTAATGCACTGAGGTAGGAATTAGGATAAAAATTTAAACATACCATCCCCGACGGGCCAAAGGTAGCATGGGTGCATTTTCTATGGAGTGCAGGCTTATGACAGTAACTGTCCCTTATGCAGGGGATACTTTCCAAGTCCCCCAGTGTATGCCCAAAACTGCAGATAGTACTGAACCCTATATATACTGTTTTTTCCTATACATACATATCCATGATCAAGTTTCACTTATTAATTAGGCACAGTGATAATAAACAGTAATAATACAGCAGTATTAATGAATAATAAAACGGAATAATTATAACAAAATACTGTCATAAAAGTTATGTAAATGTGGTCTCTAGAAATACCTCATTGTCCTGTACTCACCCTTGTTCCTGTGATGATATGAGATGATGAAATGCCTGCAGGATGAGTCGAAGTGAGGTGAATGACATAGGCATTGTTGTGACAGGGCATTAGGCTGCTCTTGACCTTCCAGCACTATGTCAGAAGGAAGGATGATCGGCCTTCCTACTCCCTTCCAGGATCAGCTGTTGCCAAGACCAATGCTCAGGCATGTCATCAAGAGAGAGGTCTTTTCCCACAGTGCATTGCACTTCCATAAAAACTAGAATTTGCATTCAGCAGTCCATTATTTGAGATGTCTGTCCAGGGAGAACAATAAGGAAGACTTGTATTGGAGCTTCTCAAGGCCGCTCCTAGATTTGATGATTGGGTAGGAGGACACATGAGACTCAGCATACAGTTGTACTCCGGCTAAGATTTAACCTAGTTGAAAGGGTACAAAATAGTATCAGCAAAGAGAAAAGGCATATGGTGCAAATTCCAGAGGAAACCAGGTAGAGGATTCCAAGAGTCTTTCTCTGTGAAATTGTAGGACAAGCTAATTCCTCAAGACGTGTGAAGTGTTGCCTACTGGGGAAGTTTGGTAGAGCCACCACCCAGGGTGTTTATTTGAGGCTGGTCAGGTAGGCACCTTCTGCCCATCCCCTACCCAAATTCCAGACTCCCAGAAGGAAAGAAGATGTTTAGCATAAACCACATTGTTTGTACAGACATTTAGGCACGGTGAGCCATTCTTACCAGGGAGTGGTGGGAACACTCCTGCAGCCCGTCTTTCGAGAGGTCAGCCAGGACCAGCCTTACCAGCAGGCCCTTCTAAGGATAACAGTTTCAAGCTGGCTATGTTGGCTCTTTTCTGGGTGACTTAGATATCCAGATGCCTTGTGTTCTAGATATTAAAGTATTTGAAAATGAGATAAAAGACATAATGTGGATTGTTATCAGACTTCCTATACTGGGACAGTGTGTGTTGTTTTGCTTTGATTCATACTTTAAAAAACATCAGGTTTGTAACAGCTCCTGAGTGACACAGACATTCTGGTTGCTGACGGTTCCTCTTGGGCTCCCTTTATAAGCCTCTGATTCTTCTGAACTGTGGACCCATAGCTGACTGTGCAGATTTTCTTTGCCATGGTCTTATTTTCCTTTGTAACAATCACTTCAATCTTAGTGATGGTTAAGACTGCTTTGTATAAAGTATGGGCATTAAAATACCTCAAAGATGTGGTGAAGGTAATGTGGGAGGGGGTGGCAAGTAAACAAATAGCAGTGATTGAGTGGGAGTAAAAAGCTACCTAAATTCAGCCTTAATTATGCTATGCCTTTCATAAGTTTGCTAACAAAATCATTACTATAACTTCTTAGGCTCTTAAGCAGTAATTGCACGAGAGTAAAGGGTCGGGATAGTGACTTTAGTGTCAATCTTACCAGATAAGTAGAGGTTACAAATTGCATTACCTTTGGGGCGCCTGGGTGGCGCAGTCGGTTAAGCGTCCGACTTCAGCCAGGTCACGATCTCGCGGTCCGTGAGTTCGAGCCCCGCGTCCGGCTCTGGGCTGATGGCTCGGAGCCTGGAGCCTGTTTCCGATTCTGTGTCTCCCTCTCTCTCTGCCCCTCCCCCGTTCATGCTCTGTCTCTGTCTGTCCCATAAATAAATAAAAAAACGTTGAAAAAAAAATTTAAAAAAAACAAAAAAAAACAAAAAAAAACAAATTGCATTACCTTTAACAGCATTATCTTAAACATAATTTGACAGCTATTCAGGATTATGAAACTGCTCAGGAACACAATGAAAATGATCAGCAGATTCGGGAAGGTCTAGAGAAGGCACAGAGGCTACTGAAACAGTCACAGAAACGAGATTATTATAAAATTTTGGGAGTAAAAAGGTGAGTTATTAATTTAAAATTTTCATAAATCAACTGTTTTAAAGCTTATCATTGCTCTTCCTTTTTTCTCTGATTCATTGCTTTCTTTATGTAATTTCAGTCATGGATTAAACCTAACCATCTTTAACATAGTGAAGCTATTTTGTTACAGGCAGATTTCTTTGATAGCAACTAGTACTGCAGTGATAGGGAATTAGTAGTTGGTGACAAAGGTATGACACTGTAGCATGAATAGATCCTGCCCTAGATTATTTAGGAAGGGTAAGGAGGTAGGAGTGAGCTTTCTTTTGTGAGGACAGGAGGGAGAGAGGGGGAAAGAAAACTCTAGGCCTAAAAATAAAGTGGCACTTTTGAGAATTAACTTACACGCACTGAGATCTACAAAAGCTGGGTAATGTCAGACCCACTTTCCCTGAAGAAGGAACCATCAATCTTTTATCAAAAGTTGAACCTTTGTTAAGTAAGCTAACCAGATGCAAAATAGAAAGTGGGTTTCAGACTCAGAGTATCTCTTTTAATGCCAAGATTTGTATCATGGTAGGCTGGAAATTCAGAAAGTTTAAAAACACATCTGTGTGATTTTTTTTTTAAAGGGAACATTGCAAAGATCAAAAGTAATTTCTCCCCAGTGAGATTCTGATCTTAGGGAACAAGTATCTGAGGAAGCCTGACCAGCTTTAATGATCATCCAGTCTGGATATTTAATGTTCAGCCTGTGACACCATGGGCACGATTAGAAGAACCAGGTTGCTAACTTGCCGGCGGGATCATAACTGTCTTTTAGTTTTTTGTGGCTGTGTGTTGGGCACTGCTTAACTAATGATTATTTATTTTCATACTTCTCAGAAACGCCAAAAAGCAAGAAATCATTAAAGCATACCGAAAATTAGCATTGCAGTGGCACCCGGATAACTTCCAGAATGAAGAAGAAAAGAAAAAAGCTGAGAAAAAGTTCATTGACATAGCGGCTGCTAAAGAGGTCCTCTCTGACCCAGGTATTGTTTGTCCTTAGCATTTTCTGTTCTTCTGAAATGGCCGAGTCTGCGATGCGCAGACGTCTAGCTCCGTTCCTTTGCTGACTTGGAGACAGGGTCACACAGGGGGGACAGGTGGGCTGCTCAGGGTCACCCCGTAGGAGCTGGGGACCACTGGGTCCCCCGCCTTGCAGTTTCAGAAGTTCAGATGTCATGCCTGCCCCCGTCAGACTCAGGGCCCTTCTGTCTGGCTCAGTGGAAAGACCAACAAGCTTGGAATCAGAAGGCCTGATTTGACTCTTCGCTCTACTGCCAAAGTTCTTAGAGCTTTTTGAGCCTCAGATTTTACACCAGTGAGGGGGATGTCTTAGGTTCCTTCCACCTTCCCGGATCACTGATGAATTCTTTATACCAAACTTCTAGGAGCTCGATTAGGAAACCAGAATGCCTTGGGGGGGAGGGGGGGCGGGCAGTGAGGGTGGGAGGTGTATACCTAGCCCAGGAACCTTGTCCTGAATCAAATGTTCATTAGATTGACTGGTTGCTGGAATGTTTTTATCATATGCTAAAATGGCCTGGAAAACGAGAGAGAAAATGAAGAAATTAGGTAATACTGAACAATGCTTAGACATTTCCAGAGGGAATTTAATGTTAAGCTAATACCTATTGCTTTTTTGTGCCTTTCCATGTCAGTAGGAGTAGAAGCTATGACTTGAGCTAGACAAATTCATCAAAAATAGAAGGGACTCAAGATTTATGCCCATTTGGCAAATTTTTTTTTTTTTTAATTTTTAAAGTGTATTTATTTTGAAAAGAGAGAGAGGGAGAGAGAGAATCCAAGCAGGCCCCACACTGTCAGCACAGAACCTGACATGGGGCTCGAACCTACATGACCTGGGCTGAAGTTGGACACTTAACCGACTAAGCCAACCAGGTGCCCTCCTTGGCAAATCTTTTTTGAACATCTGTTCCTGCTATGGAATCGAAGCTGTATGGCCCTCTATTTGCATTTATAATCCTGTAAGGGAGGTGGAAATGGAGTTAATGAGCACAGCAGGATAGTCTATCTTTTCACTCAGCAAACGAGTGCCAGCAACATTCTCAAATGGTCTGTCTTCAGCTGGCACAGTGGACAGGTGGGGGGGCCACAGTGGACTGGGAGCTGGGAATCTTCGGCGGGGGGTGGGGGGGGTGGTGGGCATATGGGGAGACGACCCTGCAGCTGAGCACTAAGGATGGCAGGGAGCCAACCAATGGAGTTGGGGCCGATAGTAACAAAGTACCTACAAATGCAGTTCTTTTCTGGATGCTTAGGAGTTCTTTTGGTTCTGTTCCTTTTTCTTAGCCCCTGTTCTTATTTTAGGGATGAATAGTTTTTTCTAGTCTGAGTGTAGTCACTTGCTCTCCTGCCACCTGCAGGATTCCTTTCTCCCGTTTGCCTGCATTAGCCTCTGTCTCGTCAGAGACCCTCCTCGGGACTGAGAGGTACAGCGGTGAGGGCAGCCTCCTGTGCTGCACAGCAGGGAACCTTAAGTCCACACAGAACTAAGAGTGAGGCGTGGAAAGCTGTTGAGACTGTGTTACTGGGGTGAGGACGGTGATGTGGCTCTTTGATCATAGGGGTGTGACTTTTGGAGGTCTCTTTCTTTGCAATTATTTTTTTCCAGAGAATTTCCTTGGGTAGCTTCTTGTGAGGAGAGAACATTAAGGGGGCCTGAATTTCAAGGAATACCCATTTCCAGCCCTGAACCTCAACCCTTTTTCTGTGACCGGTATTTCTTCTCTAGGCTGTTTCTCCTGAGACCAAACCTGTGAGCTGGGCAGGAATGGGGGAGCCGGGATCTGTGTGTCAGGCATGACTGATTTGATAAGAGAGAAGCCAGGAATCCTGTGATGCTCCCTTCCCCCTCCCCAGGCCTTAGTTAATACCTGGGTCTTCATTTTCTGGTTTCTTTCTTGTAGAAATGAGGAAGAAATTTGATGATGGAGAAGATCCCCTGGACGCAGAGAGCCAACAAGGTGGTGGAGGCAACCCTTTCCACAGAAGCTGGAACTCATGGCAGGGGTTTAACCCCTTCAGCTCAGGCGGACCTTTTAGATTTAAATTCCACTTCAATTAAACCAGCTGTTTTTCTGCTCTTCTTCCTTAATTTTTTTAAAGATTAAAAAGAAAGAAACCTTGTCCCGGGATCCTAATGGAAAAAAAAAAAAATTCAAATCTCTTAGTTTGTCCATGACCAAAGAGTTGTTTTAATAGGAACAATCCGTTCTTACCCATTTTAGACTGGAGGTTGATGGGTCTGAGAAGGCAGAGAGGCGAAGACTCGTTCTATTTCTGACAGAGCAGCTCATGTAAATGTTTGAGCCTCTGGAAGAGGGTCTGAGGGAGGTGTGCCTGTGCCAGCGCTCACATAGTTTTCTCACCGGAGCGGTAGACATTCTTCTTCACAGCCTCGCATAGCCCATCAGTGCCTGCACGAGGACGGGGAGCTGTAGTTTTGGGGAGAGCAGGTTAAGTTTTAGTATTCTTAGGATATTACCATTTTGAGCTGTGCGGTCCTAGGGACACCTTGGCTTTGATTTTGGTCAGTCCCTTTGCTTGCAGATACCTGTGAAATTACAGAGCCTCGTGAATGCAAGCGCACTTGCACCTCTGCTGGCGTGAGCACGGCTGGCACTGAGGGAGGGACGGAACCCGCCTTTTAGAAAGCCTGCTGCCCAGTGGTAGCTGACATCGCCAGGTACAGACTTTGGATGGGTATTAAGCGTGCATTTTATGTCCAGTACCTGCAAGAGAACGCTGAAGACCACTGAAACGGAGTTGATTATAAAAATCTATGGGCCCTTTTGTTTAATATGAAACAAATTAACTAAAGGAGAATGGGTAATACAGCAGTGGTGTTACCTAAAATAGAACTGAGGTGCGGAATGAAATACTTTAATAGCTGAAGTTGTGAGTTAAACAGAATTTCCTGTAACAGGATTGGCTTGGAACGGTCAAGTTGCTCAGTTGACAGAGAGAGAGAGAGAGAATGCCGTGTGCCCCACTTGTAATCAGGGTGGTGGGGCAGCTTCTCTGACTGCCTGGCCAACCCTCTGGGGTTGCAGTCACTCCCACATGGGACTGTCGAGGCCTCAGTTAAACTGTAGACCCGCCGCTTGCCCGGACCTCGATGCGTCCGCTGTTCTGCCAGGAAAAATACACATTCACAAATCTAGTCAGCTCTGGCTGTATTTCCATCATCAAGATGGCATCTCTTCTTGGGATTCTGTCTTCTTACCTTTTAAGAAATTAAGGTATTCAGTCTTTGTGTACTGGATAATTTTTTCCCTAAAAAGTATTATTTTAATCAAGAGCATTAAATATTTATGGAACTATTGATGCTGCATTTAAAATCTAAGAGAATTACTTTAGATAAGAATGATTACCTTCATTCTGGAAAGGTTTTTGTTTTTTGCCTCAGAGCATTTTGACGAGTATGGGTCTCTAATATATTGTTTTTATGAAGTCAGGCATTTTAATTTCAGTGGTGGGAAGCGTCCTGATCACAGCAGCCAAGCACAGAGCGTTTCCTTCCGTGGTCACCCTGCAACGTACGTGAAGAAAATTTCTTTGAGAGACAAAAATCACATAGCTGAGTTAAGCAAAACATATATGTGCTTTTTTACATCTACTTAGAAGTCTGTTTCTTACCAATAAACTTAACAGTGCATTTGGAGAATTGGGGAACAGTTTGCAGCTTTCCTTTCTTTTTAGTATCTTAAAATGCAAGCCAGTATGAAGATGATTTCTAAGGGAAATTCAATTTTGCTTATTCTTTAATCTTAGTAATCTCATTACTCCACTGTGTCAGCAATATATTTTTTCCAGTCTGGTTCTTTGGTGTCTGTCGTCACTGACCGTTTTGCAGTCTAGCAATGGCCTCTACCTACTTTTGAAGTAAGAATTTTCATGCAGAGTCAGAACAAGGAAATATCCAATCACTTGCCTTTCCATTCAGAGAAGAGGTCTAGAAGGAGCCCGAGGGAGTCAGGACGGTGGAGGGCTGGGCCGCGGGAGATGCATCCCCGGCGCCATTACCCCACGGACCGTCCAAGCTGCCCGGACGGTGGCTCGTGTTTTCTCTACTTGCAGTAACCGTCGTTCCTGCGCCTAAACCTTTCCCGTGGATTCAGTCTAGTCGGCGTAGCTGAAATGTGCAGTTACTTGCTCGTCTTCAGTGAACAGAGGAGAGAAGCTATGGTGCCATGTGCCAGTGCCACAGAGAGGGCTCAGTGACAAAATAATGACCCGCAAGTCCAGCCCTGCTGGGTGTCAGAGGCCACCGCCTGTCAGGGCAGACAGTCCTCCGGGCCATCGAGGGAAAGTCGCTCCTCCTGCTGGCCCGATGGGTGAGGTCATCGCACGGACTGAAAAGGCACTTGTTTTGGGGCTCCTTCCATGTGCCACTCTCTAGGCTCTTGTCTCTGGGGCCTGCAGGTGCCCGGTCACCATGATGGCTCTTTCTGGAAAAGTAAAACCAGAGAGGTGCCAAGCCTTAGCTGTATTAAGGTCCTCCCTCCCTCCTCAGTAAGCTCCGGAAGCGAAGTCTCACTTGTCTGTACACTGTGGACACTTTGCCTTCCACAGCAGCCGGGAACGAGCACAGCAACCTAGAAACGCGAGAAAGGTCCTAAAAGAGAATAAACTAATTTAGTGCCCAGTTTTGAAAGTTTGTGCTTTCTTTCCATGGATAAATGAAAAATGGAGGACAACCTCAATAGTTTACTGTGAATTGGATGAACGTCATGCTAACTTTAAAACGTCTTCAGTCAGTGTTAAAAATGTATCTTAAGTATCAGTATGAAAGCAGAACTTTTGGGGACTCTGATAATGGAATGTAAAAACTACCTTTTTTTTTTTTTTTTAAGAGAAAAATGCTGATAACCAAGTAGGGAAAAAGTTCATAGAACCACAATTTGAAATTGGCAGCATTTCCTATTCATGGTGGAAAATGAAAGATTACACCTTTAAAGGCATGAAATTGGTCAGCAGTTGTGACATTTACCATGAAAAAAATGCGTGAGAGACTTCCATTAAAAGTGGTTCCTCGGTCAGGTTGTGTTTGAGCCGCCTGCCTTAAAGCCCAGAGGTCACAGTGACGGGCCTTACAGACATTTTCAGAGTACACGTCAGCGGTGGCACCTAGAGAAGTTCACGCAGCCTCGTTGAACGTAGTGATTTTTCCGTATTTGTAAAGGAAGGAGGAAGGCAAATGCTCATTTGTCCACAAATAACATCCTTACTCTAAATCAGATCATTCCTTTTGTTAGCAGAGTCTATGCTGTAATTGCAAATGATGTTAATAGGTGGGGATAATTTTTTTTTAATGGATGATCTCATTTGCTGAATGATTTAAGAGTCAGATTAGCCACTGCGTGGCCTTGTGTATAAGTAACAGGTTTTGTTGCACTCGTCTGTGGTCGGCCCCTCCTGCCTGCAGGGGAAGGAAAGAGTGTGGAGGAGGTGGATCCTGGAGATGTTTGAGAAGTTAAAATATTACTCCTACTATAAGGCTATAGCTGGTTTTGAGTGAGACAAGACTAACTTAATCCATCCCAAGTTAGTGTTTTAATAAAGAAACTGAAAATTAATTGAAATGGGTCTCAGATATGTCTGCAAATATGGGTACTATTTTTATGCCCATGTATTTTCACATTTAATAAAAATATTTATGGTCAAATCATTATTTTCTTGCTTTCGCTTCATTTTTAGTCTTTTGGAGAAGTCTCTCTTCCAACTTCGCCTGACATGTAGTCTGTGACCGGGGTGACCAAAGGGCTCCTCCTTCATGTTCAGGTGAAGGAAAGTCAGAGCACAAAACAGAAATAGCTAAAACTTCTTACCCCAAAAGTCCTAGAACAGCTAGGCCTTAAAGTGGACAGTTCTTCAGGTTCAATACTGTTAAAATCTAATAAATTGGCTTGGTTGGAAGACTTTTATACTTAATTTGCACATTTCTGTTAAAGTCGTAAAACGGGGTTTGCAGTGCGGTTTCAGATTTCCAACTACAGACCCACATAGCTTTCTTCTCAAGTCTCCCGCATATCCTCAAAGACTAGAATACTTAGGACTTTCCCAAAAAGCGCAGTTTCCAAATTCTTGCTAATAATCCTGCTGTCTTTGCAATCTATGAGCCATCAGTCTGAAGATCATGAAAATATCAACAGATGTGACAGCTGGCAGGAAAACAAGAAGAGGAAGGGAAGATCCATTTTCTCTTCCCAGATCCTCAGGGTTTTTCTCGGTGTGAAAGATGCTTCAAAGATAGCAAAGGATAACTCTTCTAACAAAACATTTCACTGTATTTTCTTAGGATTATATTAATTCTATCACCTGTTGCAGTGTTTGGCTTCTTGCGAGAATTTAATGCATTTTATTACCTCAAGTTACTAAGACCTCATGAGTGGAAATTGTACAATTTTTGTGCAAACAAAATAGCATCTCTTCCACCTGGATCCACTCTGGTTATGCTAACATGCAAGGAGGGCCTTGTAAGATGTGGTCTTTACACCTGGGGAAGTTTATTATGGCTGCTGTGCAGTGGAGAAAAATGGCACCAAATCCCAGAGAATCCTACTTGTCCTGGTATCCGTGAGCTGTTACCTGCTAGACCAAGTGCTGCAGAACACTTAAATAGGACTGTCAGAAAAAAAAAAAATAAATAGGACTGTCAGGAAGCCGTGCAGGCAGAAAGATACGGAGCAATCCTGGAGAAGTGTTCATGGATGGCAAAGCCCGTCACTGCATTTTAGGACCACAGCACAAAAGCTCTTCCTGTGGTCTGCAAACTCTCCTGCATGACCCTGTCACCCCCTCCCCCTCCCGGCTAGCAGCCGGCTCCCACCTCGAGTTTCGTCCCCCATGTCCCTTCCTTCCTGACACTTCCCCTTCATAACATCTTCATTTGGAGATTTACTGAATGCCATTTGTTCTGGTCTGATAACCTCAAAAGGACACATAGTAGGTTCTTAAATAGCTGTTGGATTGGTTCAGGTTATGGAAACTTTATATTTTGGCCTTCCTCAGATGAAGCCTTTTGGACACATTTTCTGGTAGAAGCAGAGGCAGGTTCAGTGACTTTTGTATGAGAAGGAG